GGGGGCTGGCCTTGGGGAGGGGGCTTTGCAAGCCGGGGCATCCCCTGAAACACCCCCTCCCCCCGTAAGAGCCCCAGACTAGCAAGGGATTTAAAACAGTCCTAAAAAATAATTTAAAAAAAATGAAATTAAATCATAAATCCTAAGGGGAAAAAAAGCCCTAAAACCAACCCTAAGGCCTGTTCAGTGCGGGGGGGGAGCAGTGCAGCGCCCTTGGCTGGCGCCAGGTGCTGCAGGCCTGGGGGGCTCCCCGGAGGGGTGGTCCCGGCCGAGGTGAGCGTGAGCAGCCGGTGCGGGGGCCGAGACCCCGGCTCTGCCCGGTGCTGTCGGTGCCGAGGAGGCTTTTATCCCCCTCTCTGGCTCCCTGCGGCGTCCCCAGGGTGCTGCTGTGAAGGTGTCGGGCCCTGCCGGGGAATCAAAATGGGAATCGGGCTTCCCCTGCCTGCAGGTCCCCCCTGCCTCCCTGCGGCTGCGGGGTGACCTTTCTGTTTTTCAGTGTGCGCTTTGCAGAGCACCCTGGCTTGTGGAGCGCTACCCAGTTAAACTGCAATCGAAACAGGACAACGCGAGCCCCTCATGGTCCTAAAAAAGTACTCTTCAGCTCGCTCTGTGGCAAACTGCTCCAAACAGCGACCTGAGCGTTAGGGCCTGCCACCCTGCCCTGGCTCACTTGCAGAGGGAGCTGTCCCTGGCTCCTGAAGGCCTCCTGCTAAAACCAATCCCTGCCCATCTAAACCGATTTAAAACAGATCAAAAAAACCTGCTTTTGCATTCGCTTTCCTGTGCTTCTGCCTTTAACGCTCCTGTTTTCTAGCTCCTAGCCTGTAACAGCTAGAAACTTTCTGTGCACGAAGTAAAAGGGAAGGAACCGCCGTTTTGTTGTGTTTCCAGAAGCCATCCTGATACCACCAGATACCATCAGGCCCGCAGCAAAAACACGAAGCCAAATAATGCAAGTCTTGCAGTGTACACACACGCCAACAAGCGCAGCCCCTGCCCCAGAGGGTTTACACACTTCAGTGCTTGCAAACTCTCCCCGAGCCTGACGGGACAAGTGTCGAGGCTGCAGGCAAGCATCGGCACCGATGGCAGCAGCCTAAAATCTTAAAAAATGGTGTGGGAGGAAACTCTAGTCCTAAAAATATCAGTCGCTGGTGAGCGCCAGGGAGGGAGCTGTGGCTCCGAGTCACCCGCTGCTTTGCCTTTTGCCTCTCGCCTTTTGGGGGCTTTGCTTCTGTCTGGTGCTGAGCTCTGCCACCGCGCCAGGCTAACAGACTCCTGTGTCTGCACAGGGCTTGCCTGCTGACTCTGCCCTCTCGGGAAAGATGGGAAAGGGCTACAAGGTGGTGGTTTGTGGAATGGCCTCGGTGGGAAAGACTGCGATTTTGGAGCAGCTTCTCTATGGAAAGCATACTGTTGGTGAGATATTTTTACTTTTTTATGGGGGGGGATCATTTCCTTTTCCAGAATCTTGTTCTGTGTGGGCCCCCAAAAAGCAGTAACCGAGGACTGCAAACGGCACTGAGGTGAAGGAGGAAATCAATGTGGTTTTGTTGCATCTCTGGGCAGTTCTTGAAATTCCTAGTCCCTTGCGTACCAATTTTTAAAAGAGGCTTGGAGAAGAACGCTTTCCGTGATGTTCCCAGTTATAAGATACATGAATGTTTAAAAAGAAACAAACACAGAAAGTAGGCAATGAGCTTGCTGCCTATTTACATAATATCTCGTTCCCTGAAAGATGCTGTAGATGCCTGAAAAATAAATAGCTATCACATGATGAGTGGAGAGACTGTTCAGACTTTTGTTCCGTCTTCTTAAAGCTTTATTCTGCTTGGTTGTGGCTAATATTTAATCAAAGCGCTGAAAAGAAAAACAGCTCTGCTTTATGTCCCACATTCTGTGCTGAACTTCAAGGGCCAAGGTTCTTGGCTCTCAAAGAAATCCTCCCATGGAAAACGGACTTGAGAGAGGAGCATGGGATGTCTGAGACTTGCTGTGCACAAAGGAAGGGTAATGAAGGCAAAGCTGACTTGTTTCCCTCTGTCTCCACATGACTTGGCTTTGAGAGGAAGGGCAGCGATCAGCAGGCTGATGAATTATTCCTGCCTCACCCAGAAACAAGGGGTGGCACCAGGGGTGAATCTCAGGGCTTTGACAGAAGATGTCTAGTCCATTTGTGTTTTTTCCTTGGGTCGGTAAATTAAATGTTGGGGTAAGTTATTGGATAAACACTAGGATTTCTAGAATGGTGCTTTGCAGTCACTGCGCCTTTAAAATGTGTGGATGGGAGGAATTTGCTGGCAAAGCGTGATACAGAACTGCGTGCTAATACCCTTGTTTAAAAGGAGGATTTCCTCTAATGTTGCAGCAACATCTGTTTCCAGCATCCTACCGAGCCCTATGCACGTAGCCCCGTGTAGCTTTCAGTGTGAAGGTTGCAAAACCTGCAGGCTGAAGGATTTTCCCTTTGCTACCGACCTGCCTCTCCTCTGTGCTCGGTGACTGTCAGAGACAGCCGAGCAGCACGAGCAAGGCCACGTTGCTTAAATCGTATTGCCTTGCATTACTTCCTGCCCCGAGCTCCTATTAGCGACCCAGGCAGGAAGGATATTCGGGTGTTGCTGATCGGAGGAGCTATTTATGGAGCCAGCCATGTACATGATTATACAATGTCATGAATATTGGCTGACATAACCGGAGGGAGGCCTCGTGCCCGGGGGTTAGCTGCGGGTGTCCCTCTGTCACTCCCAAACGCTCCGCTCCAGCTCAGCTGTTGCGCAACGCAGACTTTTCCCCCCTCTCTTATAAAGATCAGTTTTCCTTTCCCGCAGCTCTGCTCTTATTTTTCAGAGTTAACAGCAAGGGAGGGAGCAGCTGATAGTGGAGGGGGGGTACAAGGGGAGAAGGAAGGAGGTAGCCTCCCGTTTTTTATGATTTTGGTCAAATCTTATTCCCAAGGCATTCGGAGAAAGAGGGCAAGTAGCAGAGTCAAGATCAGAGTATGGAGAGGGCTTGTACAAAGCCACTGCAGCCCCAAAGGATGAGCAGCCATGGCCCAGGGCTTCTGATATCGCCCGCTTGTGCCATCAGGCACATTTTGGGGGATGGACTGATAGGTTGGTATTTCTGGCAGTCCCGCTGAGTGGCCACTGTCCTCCTTGCATCTTCCTCAGCCCACAGGCAGATCTGCCAGAGGGTGCCTGAGGTATGGGGTGGTGAAAATGGTGCCCAGAAGATCTGCTTCTCCAATCTGTATTGATTTAACCCTCGAATTGCAGAGGCAGGACACCACTGTGAGGGTCTCACTGGGCAAGGACAGAGGTTGAGGAATGGCAAGTCTTTGATTGCTCCTTAGCTGAGCTGCTTAAACTGCACAGACTCATTGTCGGTGCTGCCGTTGCAGGGGTGGCCCCTCCATGCTTAAAACATGATTACTGGATCTTGATCCTCGTTTCCTAAAGCTTGCAAGCTCCAGAAAGCTGACATGTACATCTTGGCTGCTGGTCTTTTTGGCAGGAGGCGAAAAGGACTAGTGTGTTTGCTGAAAGCCTGTCTGTTCAGAGCCAACCAGCAAGGCAGCTCACCGGGTACGGCAACATGGACACAAGCTGGTTCAAAACCTGTGCTTCCTGACTGACGTCAGGAGCAGCTCTGCGGCTGGTCCGAGGGCCAGGGAGAGGGGCAGGGGTGCCCTGGGGAGGGCCAACACACGGAGCCTCTCTGTTCCTGACAGCATCCACGTCCTCCTCCCAGTGACGAGAGGTGTGCTCGAACTTGGTTGCAGGCTCAGAGCGTAAGGTCTGGTGCCATCCTCTGAGGTGTCCCAGCCGTCGACGTGGGGGTCTCCTCCTGGCTGTAAATCAGCCACGAGTCTATGTCAGTGCTAACATGCCTCGTGTTGACTCTCCTGTAACAAGGAGTGGTGGCACAGCTGCTATCAGGGAAGTGATTAGTGTCCTTGGAGGTTTCACGCTGCTATATAAAGCCCTTGGCTTTAAGCCCACGCTCCTGGCTCTGTGCTTGGTGATGGTGCTGTAAACCCAGTTGTGCTGTGTTTTTCTTCCTAGAAAAATGTGTACCTTCAGTTCTGCCTGGCTTGTCATGGATGAAGTCCCTAAGTGCTACAGCTGCTTACATGGTCAGCAGCTAGCACTCTTGCAAAGGCACTAAGATTGCTTGAGGTCAGAGGAAAAATTACTAGGGAGGGAGGGAGGAATACCCCTGAAAAAGAAATATCTGTGTCCCCAGAGCATGTGAGCAACAATGTGTGGTACTGGGCTTTGTGCTAGGCTTTAAAACTGTAAGAGGGGCTGTTTGGCTTGGGCCCTAGGATGAGAAAGGAGAGGGCAAAAAGATGAGAGAAGCTGTCAGAGCCGCGTAAAGTAACGTACGTATTGCACAGCAGCCTCTCTGGCTAAGCTGAGACAAGGAATCAAACAAAACCTGAAAGGAGATGTTTGAAATGGGTGCAGATTTAGCTTTGAGTCATGCAGGGACTATATTGCCATAGGTTGGGCCAAATAGTTGTTAAGGTTTCCATGTATGTATACAGTTGCCTGGTACCTGGGACAATCTCTCTTTTTGTGGCTTCAATGCTGTGTTTGTCCAAATCCTCCACCTTCTGTTGCACTCCTGAGGAAGGAGGGGCCAGACTTCTCCTTGGTCATGAAATCGGTCCTTGACTGGCAGCAGAAGTTTGTCCCACTAAATACCTGTGGTACCTGGCACTGCTTGGTCTGGGCTCTCTTGAGAGAGCTAACGGGAGAGGTGCTGGCTTAACTTTGGCACGGGACGTGTCTGTAAAGAGGATAGGTGTTTTTCCCTAAACAGTGCTCCTGTTCAGTGATGGCACAGAAAGGAGTCTTCCTTCTGCCTTTAAAGTATCTCTGGCCCCTCAACCTATGGTAAAGCTTATCAGCTAAGCAGGAGAAGATGAGAACTTTTCCTGTAGAAAATACAATTTTCCTTATCTCTGCCTCCTGGCTACGTAAATAGCTAGTACGGTCAGGTTATTCATAAGCAGCTACTTCAAATCATCTACTAGCTGGGAATGAAAACACCATATATTACTGTGGTAGAACCCATAAGGAGAGAGAATTTGCCTCGCTTGGTCTCAGCTGGAGAGATTTGGGGTTTTAGCTTTCACAGCTCCAAAGATGTGGAGGTTAATTAACCCAATCATGCATTCTTACCTCTTTGTTTCTTAAATCAAAACTACCTCCTGGCAGAGCTGCAGTCAGCTTTGTATTTTAGAAATGGATGAAAATGGAGCTGAATGTATGCAACTGAGGGTCACAACTGTGGCTACTGGTTGGTGGGACCAGTATTTAACTAGCAGCCAAATCTATATAGACCAGCTCCTGTTGAGTCCTGTCCAGCTCTTCTCCAAGTCAGGGATCCTCTGATATACTGTCAATCGAGATCTGAGTAAGCAAAGCCTGTTATCCTGGAGTTGTAGAAACACAAGGAAGAGCAGGCTTTGGGAGCTATTTGCTAAATCCCTGCTGGGAAGAGGGAGGGAGAGATTACATAGGAGATCTTCAAAAGTACTCAAGAAGACACAAAATTTGCACTGCATTTATGTTTGAGAGTCATTTGGGAACTTCTGAAATTCCATCTATCTAATTTTGCTTCATTTTGGTATTTGCAATATCTCTGCCTTGTCTAGCCTGAGCGTGCAGTATTCATTAGTATATTGAACCTTTTCTTTTCCTCATTGGGAAACCACCAGGGGTTGAAACACCACCCAATTCATGACTGAGGCTTCCCCTTGCAGTTCCTCTGTGGCAGCAGTCAGTAACATAGATGAAGACCTTTCTGCCTCTCCCAAGACTTGCACCAGCTAAATAGGCACTAGAGTACAGTATCAATCTCCTGTCTATTCCTCCCTTTCCTCCCTAACTTTTTTATTCTTAGTTTCCAAAAAACCCACGAGATTGTTCACTGTCTTGTTAGTTCCCTTTTCCCCCCATACCTTCTGAACCTGAAAGCCAGTTCCATCTGCCTGTTCATCTGTGTCACAGCAGTAGATATCTCAAAATATGTTTCTGTAAATTTAGAAAAACTGGTGGGCCTTTTCTCTCTCTCCTGCTACAATAATGCTCTCCTCCAAGGACAACCTACTCAAGCTGGCAGCAGTCTGCAGGGCAGTAACTCCCCAGCACAAGCTGCCCTTGCCCACCCAGGTAGCGAAGGTGGGAGGATGCCTGGGGATTGCAGCGAAGGAAAGGAGAGCTGGGGTCCTTGTGACAGGGAGGATGGGATGGTGCCACACACCTTCCTAGGACACTGGGCTTTCCTGAGTAGCTGTGCTGCTCGTACAACAACTTGCCCGGCACATGGTTGAATGGAGTCTGGGAAAATGCATGAATGGGATGGTACTGACAAGAAGTGTAAATATGTTTGCCAGCAAGATGTGGCTAGCATGCAGTCTGGACTTTGGAAGCAGGACCTAGAATAAGGTGACACAGGTATGTCTAAAAATTAGCTGTGTTGGCTTAGGAATCTACTTGCATATACTCTCTCCCCCAATCTGATACTGATGCATAAATTCTAGTTCCCTCCAAAGTGTGTCGTCCCCCCCCATTTCACATCAAAATCTGTTGCTCTATTCTGCTGACTTAACTCCCAGATCTTATTTTTTCCTCTTCATTTTCAAGTAGGATGTTAACAGACATAATTTTCACTGCTACTTTTAATGCCGCTAGGAAGAGACTGTCACAGGAGAATGTGGATATATTAAAGACTGTTGAATTACAGTGCAGCGTTTAGATGGTAAAAACCTGCACAACATTATTCATTGCTTTCTAAAGAGAAAACTTAGGTACTTATGGTTCAGTCCTTCTTGCCAAAGTAGCATTCACTGATGCTAGATATTCCCTTGACCTGTCTGTACAATGCAATGAAGCAGAGCAAGAAAAAGTACAGCGCTATACCAGAAAGGGCTCTATTACCTTTAAAAACACCCTTGTAACACATTCTCCAACCACACAGAATGCCTTCGTGCTTCCTCTTTTTATTAATCTTTGTTTTGTCCTTCTACTCTTAGTTTTGCTGTTGCATGTTAGCATGGCTATATTTGGAGGCGAGATAAATTAATCGTTGCAAACCTAATAAGAGTTTGATCTATGAAGACTGCACACAGAGGGGCAAAAAGAACAGCTTGTGCCACTTTCCTGCACAGGAATGCTGCATACATCATGAGAAACCATCAGCGTGGGTGGAATGCTTTAGCTTGTTTGTCAATGTGAAGTATTTTGAATAGTGTCATTGAATATAGCAAAATCCTTATTTTCACAGGCCAGATAATCCCTTGTGTTTTCTTAAACAATGCACTAATATGGTCCTTTTTTGGCAGACAAAGAGAATAATGCGGTGCTCATTATTGTAGCCCTGCAACGGCAAACAATTTGTGTATACAGGAGTGCAGCGGAGGCAAAAACGTGGATTGCAGAGGGTTTATATGAACACTTAGAACGGACTCTGAAAGTGGCCCAGCTACACTATACATAGTTTGTTGGGACCTGTAACCTTATGCATCTGCATTCAGGGGACCACGAAGCTAAGGTGATGTATGTGTTTTCAGGTTTGGCTTGGGAAAAAACGCTTTAATTAGTTCAAAGTAAGCTGCCTTGAATTACCTCATGTTTACTGTGGGGAGAGAGGAAGGAGAGCCAGTATGCAGATAGTTACCATGGAGCAGGTGAGAGAGATATATATATGAAAGCTTGTTACCTTGTGCATGCTCTTACCTTGCAGTAAACGAGCTTGCTCCTATTGGCAAATCTGAGTCATTTTAGATCCCTAAGGGATGGAAAAAGCTCATTGTGTATTTGAGTAAATATAGCATGCAACTTTGCTTGCATGCAAACATCCACTTCCCTTTCTGGCTTGATGGCACTTGTTGGTTAGTTGTACCACCAATACACATTCATTTCCAGAATTATTCCTTTGGCTCCTGCTTCTGTCGTGTGATCCAGCTCAGTATGAAGCAAAGAAGTAGGCTCAAGATGTTAGTACTTGACTATCTGGTGTTCCTTGGCCGTTCTTCCGAAAGGGTATGTTTGGGCAGGCCTGTTTGCAGCGTGCTTGGCACAGAACTGGTACACTGGGTGGTTGCAGTTTGGGAAACCTGGGGGAAGAGCCATATATCTTATCCTATCCTGAATGTGCATGTCATATAGATTAATTTTAGAGACATAATCGTGTGCTCATATATTAGATGGTTGTATTTATGCAGTGTCACTATTGTAAATAGCTGGTGCAGTGATCTATGAATGCAGCCCTTCATGGGGATGTCAGGCAAGGTCGAGTCCAGGTCAAGTCACTCTGGATAACATGCACTGAAAGCTATGCTGGGGTGAAATTCTGCTGTACTGCAAATAATTCTTATAGTGGTGCTGTACTTACACCAGTTGAACTTTCCTCCTTGTTTTAAAACAGGCTTAGAAGAGGGTGCCACAATGGAAGATGTGTATTTGGCGTCGGTGGAGACAGACCGAGGCGTGAAGGAACAGTTACGGCTTTATGACACCAGGGGTCTGCAGGAAGGCGTAGAATTGCCAAAACACTATTTCTCTGTTGCTGATGGCTTCGTTCTTGTGTATGCCGTGACCAGCCTCGAAGCCTTCCAAAGAGTCGAACAGCTCAAAAAGGAGATCGACGTCTTTAGAGACAAAAAGGAGGTAAATGCATGGTGCCTTAACTGCTTGGCTTATCGGTATATCAGTGATAGGAAGTTAAGGTTGCAAAGCATAGATTTTGTTTCTGTAAAACTCTCATACAAAGGAAAACGAATGTACCCACAGCCTTGGCCAATCCAGCAAAAGGAAGCTTTCGCATGCTGGGGTAGCCTAATTCACATGCCATGCAGGTCATGCAAAAGAATGTGTTTTTTTTTTTTTTTTCCCTCCTTACTTCCTCTACTACAGCTAAAATTCAGTTAGCTGAATGCACCAGCCAGGACGCTTATGACTAATAAAACATATGGTCTACAGCAGCGCAGTTCATGTGTTTTTTTAGATATTGTACATGGGAAGTCAAGTGCATAGAAAAATATAACGAAGGGCATTATCTTTGTTTGTTTTGTATTCATGTACTTGATGGCTTACAAACTAGTGTAATTGACAATGGGTCTCCCAGACATTAGTCAATTGGCAAAGCGGCTTTAATGTATTTTAACAACCATATTGAATCAATTCAATTGTGTGAAATGACTGCTCTATTTTCCCTTAGAAAGCAGCTAGTGTTTTCAGCTGACAGTGTTCCAGCTTAGCTAAACAAATATAACTTGCATGTGGCATTAGCATTATGGCTTTTCTTACAGTATCTTTATATTCTCAAGTAGTTTTCCCTGTTTAGTGTCTTTAGCCTACAGCTTTCCAAATGTCTGTTTTGTGCTGTTAAAAAAAATAAAAGTGCATGAAGAATTAATTGGATAATGGTAGGGAGGGACTTCCCAAAAATGTAACTTGTTTAGTACTGACAGCACACAGGGTGGTGGAGGAAAGCAGGCTTCAAGTTTGACAGCAGCCGAACATGCAGTCACAGGAGAGGTATGGTAGCTGGTAGGGCTGGTGTGAGCTGCAGACTGTCACGTATATCAGGGATACGGGAGTCAATCATAACTCCCCTGCAGGGCAAGGAAAGGTGGATGAGCAGGGAATTCTTCCCCGGCGCAGTTTTGTGAGGGCCCTGATTTGTTACTTTAAGGCATGTTGTAATGCGGAGAGGGAGTCACAGCCCCAACAGGATCTGTGTCCCTCTCTCTGTGTTACTGGCCAGAACTTTTCTCTCTCGTTGCATGCAGGTATTTTAGAAAACAGCCAATTTGCTTATCCTCTGAAAGGGTTTAAAGTTGTGATCTTGACTGAGGATAACAGAGTTGAAAGAGTGGTGCCCACAATAAGCTGGATAAATTAGTTTTATTCCTGTGATTTCTAGCTCCTACAAAATATGCTTTGAAGCAGGTAGAAGGTGAGATCAGGAGTCCTACCTTAAGATAGCATCAGGAGGCTCAAAGTTTGGGCTCTGCTAGAATGCATCCTTAACTGAATTAGGGATGTATCTCCACACATGGTGCTTCTGAGCTGGCAGAACTTCAGCTTGTTGAGTGGCACAGTCCCCTGTTGTGTGGCAGATGACAGAAAGCACTGATGGCTGGTTCCTTGCCTCTGCTGGCTGTGAGGGCTCTCCAACACGCACCTTAAAGCCTGGCCAAATTTTATACTAAATAGAGGTTGTGTTCTCTCACACTGACAGAGCTTAACCATAGGTAAAATTCAGTTGGAACATGCGGTAAATGCATATGAAGATTATAGCTTCTTTCCAAGCCATCGCAGAGGGAAAAACATTTTTTCCAAACACCATGGATGGGCTGCTAGAGAAAAGAAAGGAAGCCTCAGACCTCACAGAACAGGACAAACACCTCTAGCTGGAAAGAAACAGAAGACGTCCTGGAGTTAGCCTGATGAACAGGAAAGAGCAAGCAGGTGTGGCCACAAGCAAAAACCCCAAATCAGCAGCAAGAGAGGACTTTATCACTTGATCTTTGTCAAACCACTAGTGTAGAGAAGAGACCAGAGTTTGACTAAGGACCTTGAACTATAAATATAGGCATGGTTTCCCCTAAGAGCTGATGCTGGTAAAACATTTTTAGAAAATGGTTAACTTAAAATAGGCAGGAGCAGTAATTTTAAGCGGCCAGCACTACCTTCAGTGCTTCCTAGAACTGAAGCACCGGGCAGGCCGCTGAGCTCACCACACCGTGCTCTCTTGGCAACACAGATGTCACTCGATTGATCCTTACAACTAAAGGTCTGACTTGATACAGCTGTGCTGCTCTGGTTCGCTAACCGGCTGCTCTTGAAACTGCTCCCGAGAGGATGGTGCTGGTGCTTATCTGACCCTTTCAGCGAAAGGGGACTGTCACCTTAGGTCCCTCTAGTGGCTTCCCCTGCATGTCTAGGGCAGCTCAATTGCCAAGTAAATTGACAATAGGGCTGTTTAACTTTGGCTCTCTTCGGTATTGTTTCCCTTTAAGCAACCGGAGGCAGGGGAAGGGGAAGTCCTGTATATCCTATGATTAGAACCAGCTCCCAGCCCACAAGTAGATGAGGCTAATTCAAATCCCAGACCCTGATCTTCCAAGACTGCACGCAGCTTACCTTGTGCCAGTGCTAAGTTAAAGAACAGGCCTGAACCATGTTGCTACTTGCCTGCTGTTTAAAAGCATTGTGTCTGGTGAAAGCTCACCCTTTCGTTTTGTTTGTAGGTAACAGTTATTGTCTTGGGAAACAAAACTGACCTCCTGGACCAAAGGCAAGTGGAAACAGAAGCAGCACAGCAATGGGCAAGGGCCGAGAAAGTGAGACTGTGGGAAGTGACTGTGACAGATCGGAAAACACTGCTTGAGCCCTTCACCTTCTTAGCAAGCAAACTCTCCCAGTCCCAGAACAAATCAACATTTCCCTTGCCTGGAAGGAAGAGCAAAGGGAATAACTGTGATAACTAAGCTACCTTAGCATTGTCTGCTGCTGCCAGGTCACAGCCTAAGTCCTTTGTGTGCCATTTGCTTCTCACACTTAAAGCAATAATCTCATTCAGCAATAAAATCAGCAAGCTTATGGCTAAGAGGTATCCTTCCTTCTCACGGACTTGGCTTGAAGAAGTCACTGGGAGTAAAAGCCTTAGAAAGCACTTCATGAGAGGAGTTCTCTTACAACAAGGGTTATGGAGGAGGGAGGGACAGGTGGACACCTCTCTAGCAGGGGCTTTGACCATGCCTGGATACAGCCATGTTGAGGGACAAATCAACAAGCTTATCATTAAGCAATCCCCCTGCAGATCTATAGCCTCTAGTCACAAATAGGACTAGCTACAATAAGCATTCAATTTGGAGAGAAGATACATTTGAAGTGGCAACAGTCCTTTTACCTTGACCTTAAACAGGGCCACAGGGCTTTTTGATGCTGCAGGAGGCTGAGGTCAGTGTGTTGATGCAGGAGGAGGGTTTGGGGCAGGAGGAACAACTACCAGCAGATTTAGCCGCTCAAGTTCTGCGAGTGTCTGGAAGAAGAAAAAAAAAAAAAAAAAAAAAAAGAAAAAAAACAAATCTTGTGGGAGATACTAGAACAGATCTACCCCAACATGAAGCTTGTCAGCAAAGTCCGGCAAGTAGTGCTTTCAGCTCAGGAATTTATTTGTACAAACCAGAAAAGCTCTCAGAGCACTCATTAATTTATAACTGCAACCTGAAGGACAACATAGCTGTATGTGGTTTTGTTCCAGCATGTCCAGTACAAATCAGTCACATTCACACAGGTGATAATTTTACCAAGAAATTATACAGAGCAATTTTGTATGCAGGAGGTACTGCCTGGGCTCTGCTTAGCGCATTGCATAATACTCCTACCCAGCCGTTCAGCCAAGCTGCAGTAATCCACCCCTGGTACGTAGCTACAGGCCAGATAACACCCGGTACAGAGTGCTGTACTACTTTGTCAGAGGGGGCTAGGGAGTGTAGGAGGCTGCCTTTTGGGAATATCCCCACGGCAAACGCCCAGAAATACCTGTACAAGTGGCCTTGGTCTTAATACGCTGCATATCATCCAGCAGCTGGAGCACAACTGCATGTGCTGTATTTGACTCTCCACGCTGGTAAACCTGTGGTGCAGGCATCTGCTGTCCTAGGTCAGCCTGTCAGTAAACTAAACAAAATTGGATATAGAGGGACAGAATGAACAACTGTTCCCAGAAAGAGCGGCCAGCTTTTGGCCCCTAACACCCTCTTATACTAATTGATACTAGCTTTTCTTTGTATTTGAAGACAAGAGTGGGGAGAGGGAGTGAACTGAAGTACCCAGTTCCCTCATTTTCCACTAAATTAATGTTGTTTTGAACAAATATTGAGAATTTCACTGTGAGTCAGCAAAACCACTAGCAATATTTGCACTGTCATATCATAACTGCTAAATATTAAGTGTGCTTGATGATCACAATTAAGCTGTGTGCTTATAGCATTGCTCTTCCAGAATACTGACAAATAAAGTCCATCAGCATTACTGATGTCAGAGCATCAGTACAATTCACTAAAAATTAAGCAGGTATTCCTACCTTTATAAGGAAGGCAGACGAAACTGTTTATGTGCTTTGCTCAATGTAGTTTGGATTGCCGTGGCCAAGGAGTAAGATAAGAGAGCAATTATGAATGAGCAAGCTCTTGTAATGCCCTGCTAGAAACATACAATTGTTTCCATTGCAACACTGCAGCTGAGTAAGCACTATAGCATGACCTCCCCCAGCCTGGCTAGTAATAGTCATTGTCCCCAGCGATGCTGCAGAACAACACTCCCTCCTCACTCATTTCCGACCGAACACACGTGTACTCAAGGCTTCTCCCTACCCAGAAGACTCCGCATCTGCCTGCGTGCTTGGGAAGCAGGGGTGACATCAGAGCAGCAGCATTTCACCTCCTTGCTGCAATCTCTCATCAAGGAATTGGTTATGTTCCTCCTCTTCAGCTCTGCAGAGCCCTTCTTCTAGAAGGGACTTGATTCAGCTTTGGATCAGTCAAAATAACCAAAGACCTCTGCTAACCCCACATCGTCACTGAAGCGGATCCTTGAGCCATGGGAGTGCAGGTTGACAAGTCAGAATTAACTTAAAATGCGTGGAGATGGAAGGAGCAGAGGTGCCTGGTTCCTGTCCAGTTCTGCACCCCACAGACTCGGCACCAGTTTCACTGCCAAGACTGATGTCACGTGTAGGCTGCCAGAGCCATGTCGTGCGAGATCAGCTTGCTCACTCGCTCCCCTGGACACCCAGGACTTGACAATGTTTTAAGACAGACAAGAGGAAAAGGGATCTTCTGAATGACTAAGGCCATTTTTCCAAACAGGTTACGTAAAGGCAAACATGTTATCTTTGGTTTAGTTAAATTCATTAGAAACAAGTTTAGATCATTTTGGGCATTCACATAAGCAACCAACACCCACTGTTTTCTTTCGTAAGCTTATTCTGATGCTTTTTAAGCACTCAAATAAATTGCCTTTTCTAAATACCATAGTATTTTATTGACAAGTGATGGAAAAGGGAGTGTCTCCTCTGCAAACAATGCACACACAGTGGCTGGTACTGAGTCAAAACGAAACTTGCTGTAGTACAGTTTTACATAGGGTTAATAAGTAAAGTACAGAGCATACTGTAGTAGCTAAAGGGCAGGACACGTATTTTGTTCTTACTGTTCCACTGACTTGAAACCTGTCCTAGGTCACTGGGATCATTTACCTACTACAGAGCTAGACAGTCCCTTCACAAGATAATGGAGAAAAATTATTATAAAAAAGTTAGTAAATTGAACCATCTTTCTCTGTTCCTCTTAAACATGTATCCTGCTCCCCCCTGCCAGCTACAACAGTTAATTTGGCATGTCCTGGTAGCATGAAGCAAGGAGCCGACAAAAACCTACTGAGATTAAGCCATTTACCACCTCACTCAGTAGAGGCAGGGAGGAAAGGATTACCAGAGATGCTCCTGGTGTGATGTAGCTATATACCAATAATTTTCCTAGGCTGAGCCAAACAGCTGAGGGAGCTCATACACCAAAACATATGTTGTCTCAAAAGAAGGCACTTTAGCAGAGGAAGCTAACATACTACTACCTGCAGTCACCCAACAGAGGAAGGGTACCTCTAATTAACAGATTACTTTGGACCAAGTTAGATTTGGTCTATATGTAGATAGGAAGGGAAGTCTATAAATCAAATGCAAACAGAATTTATTTTAAAGTACCAAAATAAATCTGAGAGTGCAGATGACCACACAGCACTCAGAAGAATGTTGCAAGGTGAAGTACCTACCGTGTGAAAATGAATCTGTACTTCCGGCCTTTATCTTAAGGGAGTGGTCAAAAATGCCATATCCACAATTAACTGCCCTGTTGCTACACACCTCAATGCAAACACCATGTCTCTAGGAGATAATCTTTGTAGGTAGTTAAAGGATCTACAGATTAAGTCTCCCTTACTCTCCTTTAAGGTGTCTTCTGCTAGCTTACCAGGACATGATTCCTTCTCCTCTTCCAAGTGGGAACAGACCACTCCATCAGAAAACCATGAAGATATTCTCTTCTTTTATCTCCTGCCTGTTTCCCTTCAAGTTCTCTTACGCTTTTCCAGTCGTACTTTCAAACAATGTACCAGTCCTGAAAAGCCAGTGCTGTGAAAACTTAAGCTAAAAAGTAACCAGCATGGACTCTGTGGCAGGTTGCCTCCTCATGGGCCGTGCCAGCCTGCGTAACACTCACACAGTAAACTGTTGAAAAAGTCTTAGCTGTCATTCGTTGTAGCTTGTCTAGAAGTGTTTTCCCAAAATAGCAGCAGTCAGCGCACTCACCTGCGGAACTCCCTTGTCCTTATCCATACTGTGATCCTCAAAGCGTACGGGGAGACACTGTTCTGGCAAAATGACAAAGCAAGGCACTAAGCAGAAATCTTTTCTTCTTCTTTTTTTTAAACATCTTTTTATTAGCACAGTAACAAATGCAGACTTAAGTAGCCCACAACATACAACCAATCCACTGAGTGACTCCTATCCACGCCTTACAGTTAAACAGCTTAAGGTATTTCACTACAGGTTACCGTAAGTCCTGATTAAACCCTTTATTCTTTTCACAAAGATAGATTGGCTTATAAAATAATACATTAACTACTTCTCATTTCATATATGAGGCCATATATCCACCTCTCCGTGTCACAGATCATGAGATGACAGTCTTTAAAAAGATTTTGTTAAATACCAATGTGCCCTCCATAGGGGAAAATAATCCCGACATCTTTTTACAAAAAAAAACAAACAAAAAAAACCCAAAAAACAAAACCGAAAACAAAACAAAACAACCAAACCAGGAAACCCAACCCTGAATGAAATAAACCCCCCAAACCAAAAACAAAACAAAAAGCAAAAACAGTGTGTGAAGTCTTGAAAGGACTTTTACATAAATGTCAACATATGTACCTGTACAAAATTAAGCTGTTTTAATCTTTTACATATTGCAAGCAAACTGAAAACCAAAGAAGTCTGAGGTTTACATTCTTCTCGGTACTATACGTGAGCTAATATTGCTGAACTAATTACAGTCTTAAAATATGCTATTCCCAATCCTAGCTGTCTACTGTAGCAAGATACCTTAAGTTACAACAACAAAATCTTAAGAAATAAAAGACTGAATAAAATCTGTTATAGAAATACCCTACTCTTTACCAGCACCCTCCCTCCCCCCACCCCTTCAAAATCATAAGCAGCTCTTTCCATCACAGAAGAATAATGTAAGAGTTTGACGAAAATCCAATTTATGTAGCGTATCTTTTGGTCCATTGTCTGGCCATTCTGTCATGCTCTGCTCTGTTAGTCATATACTGAGTGGCAATACTTCCAACCAGGGGGTCAGCTGAAAAGAAAAGAAAGCAAACCACTTATTTCAGACAAGTTACTAAATAAAAACTTAAAAATAAAGCTGAAGTGTGAATTTAATACAAGGGAAGTACACAGGTAAGGTACATTGCAACAACCTAAACATACTGAATTGATGGTCTGTATCTTTATTGATTTGTGTGTATTTATGGTGACGCACTAAGCTATTACTTAACAAAGAGCGGAATGCCAATTAAAGTTTTAAGGAGTTTAAAAGACAACAATCCAATAGTCATATTTTGCATTACTGCGGACTTTCACCGGTTCATGCGTTTCATGTTTATTTTACCCCTTCTAAAAGGGCCTGGGACATACTCATTGCTAAGTGTACTTGTATCAATATAAGTCTGCCTTCTAGGAAAGATCAGATTTTAAGGAGAGGTTTTATTTTTCCAGCAAGTTTATTTTTATTATACATAACAGAGCATGAAATCTGGTGTCTCTCTCCTCTTTAGACACATATAGAAATACAAACTGTAAAATTGACTTTGGAAACCAAGGCATATTCCTCTTAACTGGTGTGGATAACGAGTGGGTTAGAGAAGCAGCGAGGACTACTTGTGGCATAGTTGGTCACTGGTTTTAAGTGGATGATGGAAAGTAAAAGGCTAATCCCCTTGTTTCCAGAACTGCGTTTGTGGCTCTTCTAGCTCCGTTACTGAATTACTACAGTACTACAGCGAAGAGCGCTTAACCCTTACCCAAAACCAGAGTTGGTTTGGAAGGGGAAGGAGTTTTCATGTGCAGGAGGAGGACTGCCGCCTTCCTGGCGGGTCAGCCTGAGGAGCAGTGAACAGCAGGCAGGTAGGGTGTATCACCTCCACCACCGCCGCCAGCCCCTCTCCGGCTGCCCTGGAGAGGGAAATGTGCCGCGCTGGAGGCCGGAGCCGCGCCGGCCGAAGCCAACAGGGTGAGACGAGGGCCACGTTATTCGGGTGCCGGCTGCAAGGTGGCAGGCGGCCTGCGTGGCCGCGCAGGGACTTACCCGGGTTGCAGTCTGTGAGGAGGGAGCAGATGGAGAGGAGAACTTTAGAAATGGTTAATGCTGGGCTCCAGTTGTCTTTTAAAATGTCCAGGCAGATGACGCCTTGGCTGTTAATATTACAGTGGTAGATTCTTGTCCGAAACGTTACCTGCAAGACACGGGGATTAGCCGGTGTGCTGGGGTAGCACAGGCGACGTGCTGAAGTGACAGGCAGTAAAAACGGAAG